TGCGGGAGGTCGCTTGTCCAACTTGAAATTTTTACCATTGCCATGGGCAGATTGGATATATATTATTCGGTGCGTCGTCATAAATTAAATTAAATCCGACACATCCGCGACCTTACTTTCCTCGCTAATGAGAATAAAACCATTAGCATTTTTCTTTGTTAAAAAGAATAACATCGCTTAGTGTCCTTTTCGTGATGGCTTCTTATCACCTAAATCTAATTCTCGCCTTTCTTTCTTTTTTCTTCTTTCTTTCTATCAACCTAAATAGTGTCACAAAAAATTTAAAAAGCGAAACGGGAAAATGTCCTATGCAAATGGAGTGGTTGCTATGTTTGAAGTGGAATCCCATAGAAAATGTTGTTTCTGTAAACAACAAACCAGTTTGTTTACAGTTTGATAGAGGGTTGGACATAACGTTAATATCGCATTCGACTTGGGAACAAACTGAAAAGCCAGTGTGACTGAAACAAACCATATAGCAATGAGCACATCTGGAAGTACAATTCGTTTAACTGATGAGTTAACTTGCAATGTTTCCTTTCGAAATAGAACATTTTGGTGTGAGTTATGTCACAGATAATTCGAAATTGAATTTAATTGGTCTTGACTGGATAGAACAACTCAGCTTTTTTTTTTTAAATTCCTTATTTAACTTCACATCGGATTCTGATATTGAAAATCATTTCATAGACGAAATCAAAAATGATTTTAATGACGTTTTTCAAGATGGACTTGGGTACCGTACAAAAAACCTACTCTGAAATTAAAATCGGATCCTAATCCAATTTTTAAACAAAGAAGGCCTGTACTCAATGCTGCTCTGAATATGGTTGAAAAAGAACTGCAATGTCTTCTTCAGCAAGAAGGTGTAATAGAGCCTGTTAATTACTCTACGTAGGCAGCGGCTATTGTAGTTGTTATATGGTAAATGGAAAAGTCCGGAAATGTGCTGATTACTCGACCGATTTGGATGCTTCTTTGGAAACACATCAGTATGGACTTCCAGTTCCAGAGGATCTTTTCACAAAACTGAATGGCGGAATTTGCTTTGCAAAAGTTGATCTTTCTAATGCTTTCCTTGAACTGGAAATTGACTTGGAGTCCAAAGAGCTCCTTACTATGAACACACACAAGGGATTATTCAGATTTAACCGTATTAGCTTCGGGGTCAAACCAGTACCAGTCATTTTCCAACAGACAATGGACGCCATGATAACCGGATTGACAGGAAATGCAGCATTCATCGATGCCATCATCGTTGCAAGAACAAATCAAGATGAATTTTTGCAATGTTTATTTTCCGTTTTCAGCCAAATTCGACAATACGGCTTGCGTTTTAAAATTAAAAAGTCTGAATTTTTATAAGAACAAATCAAATATCTTAAGTTTATTTCCAACAAAAATGGTAGACGACCAGACCCGGAAAATATCTCAGCAATAAAATAAAACATACCAGAACCGACAAATGTAACAAAATTACATTCTTGGCTTGGTTATCCACGACAGTGAGATTTTATCTGAACTTCATCGAGTTCATGCACCCCTCAACAATCTTTTGTAAAAAAATGTTGCATGGGTGTGGCCTGATGCATGTCAGACAGCTTTCAAAAAGGTAAAATCCTTACTTTCTTCCAATCTTTTGCTGACACAGTACAACCCATCCATGGATATTGTTATAGTCCCTGATGCTTTTGGACGACCGGCTTACTGGCTGATCGGTTGAACTCTCTGCCTTCGGGCCGGGAGGAACTCGATGAGGCTACGCCGAAGGGCGAAGTCTCTTTCGGGGAGGTAAACCGACCCTGAACTCGTTTATACGGGTTCAAAGGGCATATTTTTGGCCGAGCCCAAGGGCTCAGAAATCCAACGTTAAACCGGCCTTGTGCCACATGATGCCCACGTAGGGTGGGTGACTAATTACTGTCCCTGATGCTTTCAATTATGGTACTGGAACTGTCATTTCTCACATTTTTCCTGATGGAAGCCAAAAGGCAACAGATCACGCATCCAGATCATTGACACCTGCAGAGCGTAATTATAGCCAAATAGAAAAAGAAGCATTAGCAATAATCTTTGTGTTGTGGCCTTGTTAGGGCCAGATATAAAAACACAACGAGAGGAATTGAGTTAAACAAATATATTAACAGAAACAGTAATATGTTAAGAAATAGACGAGGTCCGACAATTTATTTATTTATAAAAATAACAACGTTAAACATAAATAGAAACAGTAATACAAACATATACAAACGAAAGTGTTACAGCAAGAATGTTCGATCCGACTGTCAGAGCTGACAGCAGGGAATTTCCCTCTAAAAGGCAATACCTGCTCCTGTTTATAGCTGCTAGAGTCCATGTGTGCGTGTGTAAATTACCATAAGACTAGTGGCTTCCCGCCTTGCTTGGGGTGAAACGTTTAAAAAGAAAAAACAGAAGCACTGATGAATCGTAAAGTTTGTTTACACATAGATGTCACCCATTCAACTAGAAACCATTGCCTAAAAAGGAACACGGTGATGGAAGAACAATTTAACCGTCATCATGAAGCAGTAAAACGCAAAATTGTACCAGGGCAGCCTGTATTTGCAAAGGTTTACAATAAAGAAAAACAGATTCAAGGACGCATTATAAGTCGCTATGTAAATGTTACATATGATGTGGATATACTTTCTTCAGTCTAGATCCAACGTCAGAACCAATGATGAACATCCAAAATTCAAGAGATCAAATCAAACTCCACTTTGCCGGTGGACATTCTATTGGACACTTTTTAACTGCCTCGACAATGTCCCCAAGTAATACCTAGGACTTCAGAATAAAGTGCAACAGGAAAGTCAGATCGACTACGAAGTAAGCTATACCCACTGCAATTAAATCATCAAAAAAAGTCATACGAGCACAAGCCTAAAAAATGGATGTTTTAGGGGAAGCTAATTTCCTTCCCCTATTGTTGAGGGGTTCTCTCCTTTTTACACAAATGGACTCACCCAGTATATACATATACTACTGCTACGTGAAAACCCGAGAGAACGAGAGCGAGACGAGAGCAACAGAGGGTGAAGGTAACAGACAGACAGAACGAACGTAGCGAGCAAGAGTCACAGTGAGCGAGCACGTAGACTCAGTAAGAAGTCATACAGCGATACTTCAATACCAAAGACTGTATAGATATTTTGCTACTAACCCGCATTCCTTGAACTACTAACCTGCATTACCAGTTTGTATTATTACGTTAATACATTATTTTCCTATATTCATTCTTGGCGTTTGTTATTATTTGGTACCGGATTTCATCCCGGAATCCACAACACCTATAAAGAACGATAACTCAAAATACAATTGAGTTACTTCCCTTGTCTTTGAAGAGGCGTGCGGCACTTCTTAATTGAACATGGCGACGAGCTAAGACTCGCGTGGAATTCATGGTTTTAATCAAAACAAATCTGCTCTCAGTGAATGAATAAAGATGTTTATTTATGTGTTAAAATACACTTGTTTTTTGGGGTTTTTTTCATTCGTTTTTGTTTATCCCTGGGACATAACAGACATCATAAGGTTATATCTCCCGCTTGCATTGTAGGTGCGACAGTTTGAGAGATTCATGTAGATTCATAATTTATATCAGGAAGCTCTGCTGCGATTCCTGCAACAAGAAAGTAATGTGATCTTACAGAAAGATAATGCCCACAAGATATTCAACTTCCCTGTCCTGCATGAACACTAGTCATTTTTTTTATTCAACATGTATATTAGTATAGCATTATGAGACGAGGCCTGACTAGTTCAATTAGCCCACCTGAAACTCTTGCTGCATGATGTCAACAGGTGAAAGAGACATAGAATGATGCATTGCAAGACGGTATTTGTCTTTATTATACGTATTATTTAGTATACGTGGCCGAGTGGTTAGAACGTCCGCATTCTGACTATAAGACCCGGGTTCGAATCTCACTATGATTGATTTGTCAGAAGGAGACTTCCTGATGTTATCCCAGCGTGCGGCACTTTTGGAAAGTGTCGGAAAACCATACCACGGGTTGACCGAAGCCTTTTGAGTTTGAAATGAAATTGGGTAAATGGAAACCAATGGGGGCCGCTGATAGCTGTGCTAGAACGAAGTCACAAGTCATCGTGGCTGAGGGCTTGAGCGTGCTAGTCTTGTTCAAATTGTTGATCACGCTAGATAACACGCTCTTTCCCAGAAACTGTAACTAAGGTCTGCTCAGCATAGTTGCAGTATAAACTACAGGTGGCCTCTGTGGGTGTTGAATAAACACAAATGCGCCTGAGCAAGCGTCTGCAACAGGGATTTGCTAGACGGTTATCCTTGAATATGAGTAGCCATCTACACACATACGTGCAAGAAAACAAACCTGAGAAAGATATACATTGTTTATTAATATGAAAGGTATCTTTCGTATAGACGTGAACCACCGATTTCCCGCCATATTTGTTCCTAAACCATTATTCACTTAGCCGAACCAACAGAGGCCATGTAACAACAATTCCATAATATAAATTTGACCCACAATTCATGTATGTCTCGTATCTCTACAACATAATAAAAATGCAATGCCAAATTTACCGATTACTTGTGCACATTTTGCAGTGAATTTCTTTAAAAAACGCAAAATGGATTGGAGAACTTGCTTTTAAAAGCAAAAATACAAAACATCGTCACAAAAGCTCGGTTCATTTTCTATAAACTACCAAAGCAGAATATAATCAAAAGTTTCACAAACTTCTAAAAGGGTTTGTGGTTCATAACAGCTGTGAAAGTGGGATTTACAACTGGTCAGACGGAAACAATGATATATATTTATTGGGGAAGGACTTATTGATGGAGAAATAATTGGGGTAGAAATTCACAGTCTGAATCTAGAAAGATGATCACACTTATATAGGTGCCTTATGTATTTTCCACCTAACCTGGCATAAGGACAGTAAATTTTGGAAATGTTCAATTTTGTCGCTATCAAAATCTAATTACGAAACGACGGATGGAAGAAAGTCTATTGTGTGAAAATGTACATATCTATTTTCTGTCTCTCTCACTCTCTCTAACTCCCTCTCTCTCATTCTCCTTCTATTTCTCTGTCTCTCTATTTCTCTCTCCAATTCTCTCTCTCTCTCTCTCTCTCTCTCTCTCTCTCTCTCTCTCTCTCTCTCTCTCTCTCTCTTATTTATACTTTTCTCTATCAAGCAAGATAGCCATCCTGGTCTTAAATTTAATTTAATTTTTGTCTCCGTTTCTCTCTCTCTCTCTCTCCCCTCTCTCTCTCTCTCTCTCTCTTCTTATATATATATATAATTTCTATATATATATATATTTTATATATACGCGGTGTTTATTGGAAAGCGCTCAGATGTCCTGTGGAACAAACTCGCAAGAGGATGTTTCCCCGATTATTACAATCTTAACCTGTTCAAGTCTAGGGTTACCCGTTACCTTCCACTCCCATCCGTACAAACCGCCTCCTAACGTAACCCTCTACCTCGAGATGCCCTGGGCCTTGTACAAGGTGAACCTTACCATATATATATATATATATATATGTGTGTGTGTGTGTGTGTGTGTGTGTGTGTGTACGTTTTACCAGTATGTGAATGGAAGGGATAATTCCGAGGAGGATATAAATCCAGTGAGAGCTCAATGTAGATTACAGAGCAATATAATGATAATAAGAAGACGGAGACTTTAATTATCCATTTCGTTTATGATTTTTATGAACACCGAGTTGTTGTTCAACTCATCAGAACGAAACCTCTCCGCAAACGGCGGAGATATATATATATATATATATATATATATATATATATATATATATATATATATATACTGTGAATTTAGGCAGCAAATGTCTCTTTAAGGTAAATATTTTTTCAATGTATATGGCATAAATGGTAGGTTTATTTAATTTATTGAATATTTTGTTGGCCATATAAAAGTTTGAAAATAAAAGACCTAGAGGGATACCCATAGTGAGGCCGTCACTCTGAGTGTAAATATCACCAAGGTGATAGTGAAAAGCGATTCTTGTTGTGGACGCTAATAAAAGTTTTTTTTTTTTTTTTAATATTGTTGGATTCATTTCAGAGGTGGCAGAGAAGAATCATGATAAAAGTTTTTTAAAATAATAACGTCAATATTTTTATGGACTCGATAAACAGACTTTCAACGTCGAAGGATGTCAAGAAAGCTATTTACCTCCAAAAAAAAGACGATATCTAAGGTTTAAAATTAATTTTTAAAGATGAAAAATCTTTAATTTTTTTTAGTTTTAATTTCAAGCTAACAGATTAAATTTAATATTTCCAATAAGAAAACTACTTTACTATATTTCAAAACGACGTTAAATGGATTGAAATGAGTTTTTAAATGTCTAAAAACTGCTGATTATAGCCATATCTACAAATTTGTCAGGATAACGTAATTGTCTTTATTTAAAAAATTTCTAAAATAAAATATACTTTTCTTAAACATTATTTGGGAAATATTAGCTGAATTAAAGTTTAATTAATCTTATTTGAAACAGATATTACTTTTAGTTTAAAATATCACAGAAAGACATTTTTTAACAGGAAGATCGGTGTTTTTATGAGGCGTTGACACCTATCTCGATGGACTTATCTTCTGAAATATTTCCTGCGTTTGACATATTTGACGAATATAACATGAGCGCCTTTTCTATATATTTTTAACTATCCATTAACCCTAAAAATTTAAGAAAATTTTCTAAGTAATCTAACGTTTTCTGAATTTTAAGTACTTTGGCTTTAAATTTAATATAGTTACCGCTCTTAATTTCTGGTAGTGTCGTGTATGGACCTCCGTATTTACGTTTATGCACGCACAAAAAATTCAAAATTCTTTCTAAAATACCAGAAGTCGCTGAATTTTAGTTAACGTTTCCACGTATGGTTAGTAAATTTAGTTTTTACTTAATAACAATATTAGATAACTGACCGAAATTAATGCATAATTTTAAAAAGATTTAAAACTTTATAAATTATTCTAATTAAAATTTTTAAAAAATGAAAGCAATTCTTGTAAAAATTCATTATTTAACGAAAAAATTGTTTTAAGAAAATATCCATAATATATCTTATTCATAAAAGCAATTAAAAGCTTTTTCTAATTAAATAATGTCTTAGTTCTATTGCATATTTTAAGATTCAGAGCAGATGTTTTGGTAACTGGCATTCCTGTTTTACAAAAAAATTGATGATTTAAATTCCCCAAGGACTTATTCTTATAACTGATATAAGCATTAAAACATAGAAAAAAGAATTTCTCGAAATTTCATAAAATTGAATAAGTCGGTGGTAATAGATGTAAAACAAAATTATTTTTACCAAGATTTTCTAAGAAAGAAACTAAAATATCTGAGTTCATTTTTGAATAAGTCTTGAAAGTTTCATTAAAACTCGGCAATTATTTGGTTTTTGCAAGAATTTCCAAATCAATGTGTTTTTCATTTCAAAAAGTGCTGAAATTTCCGATACTAATTTATAGTCACCCGGTGAGGCAAGGAGAAAACATTTTAACCAAAATTTGGAAGATTCTAAAAAGTATTAATAAATATAACTTAATAATAAAAAAAATCCTTTGTTCATTCCTCTTAATAATAGCGTAAAGTTTTTTATGATAAAACTTTCCTTTATTAATTTTATCGAATCTCTCTCCACACACACACACATATATATATATATATATATATATATATATATATATATATATATATATATATATATATATTCTTTCTCTAATTTGTCTCTGTCTTTCTCTGTATCTCTCTATGATGATGATTGCTCTCTCATTTTTCTCTCTTTCTCTCTTTGCCTGCCAGCATTACTTTTTCATTGTCTCCCTCTTTCTCTTGTCCTATTCGTTTCTCTTTCTTTATTTTCTCTTCTCTCTCTCTCTCTCTCTCTCTCTCTCTCTCTCTCTATTCTTACTTTTTGTTTATCTCTCTCTTTCTTTCTCTTGCTCTTATTCTCTTTCTCTACTTTGCCTCTGTAATTCTCCCTCTCTCGCTCTTTCTATCTTTGCATTTACGTTTTCTTAGTTTTTCTCTCTCTCTCTCTCTCTCTCTCTATCTCTCTCTCTCTCTCTTTCATGCTTTTATTTATTTCTCTTTTTGTATTTTGTCTCTGTTTCTCTCTATCTCTCTCTATTACGCTTTTTATTGTCACTATCTTTTCCTCTTACTTTTTCTCTCTCCCCCTCTCCGTCTCTCTTTATCTGCTACTCTTACATTCTCTTTGTATAACTCTCTCTCTCTTGCTCTTTATTTTCTCTTTCTTTACTTTGTTTATGTCTTTCTCTATGTCTATGATGACGATATTTTTCTTGCTCTTTCTCTCTCTTTCTTTTACTCTTTCTTTTCTCTTTCTCTTTATCTTTTTCGCACTCTCTCTCTCTCTCTCTTTCTCTCTCTTTCTTTCTCTCTACTGCTTTATCTTTTTCTCCTTGTCTCTCTTTCTCTCACGCTTTGTCGATTGACCTTCCCTCCAACGGATGTAAAGAATGACAATGCTGTTAAGCACAATATATCTTTGTCACTACCAAGACTCGCTGAATGTCACGAATTTGTCCCGACACCAACCACGTCTGCTTTTACTAATTGAGACGCGGACAGCTTTCACTATAACGGAACCAATGAAAAACACCATCCTGGGAAGCCAACTGCCCTTGACATACGTTTATAGTAAATTTAATCCTAACTATCTGCTCAAATAACATAACCTTGTGCCATAACTTTAATGTAAATAAAGAAAATACGTCTCAAATTTGTACGAAAGATTAATTTAAAGAAATTTGTCTCTGTTACTAATTCGTTATCATTTACGAGTAATAAATAGGATTAAACTCACAAAATAAATATAATCAAATACATAGAAAGCTTTTTTTATTTTTAGGATGGCCTGCAGAACGGATTAAAACTTGTATACTTGCCTCATTTGTAATGATCGTCTCGAGTTACGGGACATAATCCTTATTGTGCACCATCCTTGAGTAGGGTTCTTATTTTATAGTCAAACACTAGTACGATGTAGGTAACGGCTGCCTAACATCACGGAAAATTGTATCGGTAAGCAGAGTTTATGTTCCCTTGGCACTTGAGAAATATAAGAGTCTATCTCTTCTTCCCTCCAGCACCTAGTTAAAATAGGTTAGACAAACAATATGGCTTTCGCTTCTCTAGACCAACTGTTACTGTTTTACTGAAAGAGTGAAAGAATACTGAAGCCTGGTCTGTTGCTTTGGACATCTCGAAAGCGTTTGACAGGGTTTGCTACAAGTAGAAAGGTTATGGAATTTCCGGACGAATTTTTTAACTGATTTAGTCTTTCTTATCAAATTGTGAAATGAAAGTTGTCCTGAATGGCTACTCTTCTAGATCTTTTTCTACCAATGTAGGTGACCCCTGGTCTCTATTTTTAGACATACTTTGTTTTTAATTGTCATCAATGACCTTCCTGAAGGTATCACTTCTCAACTTGGTTTCTATGCTGATGACATTACTATTTACTTTTGTCTCAATAGTAAGTCTGTTCAAATAGCAGCTGATCTAAAAAATGACCTACCATCTGTTGTTAACTGGGACAAGGAATGCTACGTCCATTTTAACACCTCCAAAATGAAACTTCTCTTTATTAATAATCTGAGAGACCCCTTTCTGCCCAACATTAGCATAACCGATGCTAGCCTCCAAGAAATCGAGTCATTAGCTAACATGAAGTGGAAAGACTATATTAAATCCATTGCCGTGTCGAAAAATTTGAATATTGCTGCTATATTTGGTCCGGTGCTCTTGCTATATATTTAGAGATTCTTGATAAAATCCAAAGAAGAATCTGCAATATTATTGGTCCTGATCTGGTACCTTGGCTTCAATCACTTTCCCCACTGCAATAATGAAGCTTCCCTGTACTTTTTCTATAAATCAAATTTTCTTTAGATCAAATTGATTTTAAAAAGATTTACAGTCTGTTGTTAACTGGGGCAAGGAATGGCCTGTTAATTTTAATGCCTCCAAAATGACCCCTTCCCACCTCCCATCAGCATATGGAGTGACTTATTGTGCCTTCTTGGGCTTATATTCTTGGCTGACATGAAGTGGAAAAATTAGATTGAATTTATAGCTGGGTCTGCTGCTAAGAAAGTTGATTCACTGTATCGTGCTAGACAATTTTTCTCTCTTGAAGTATTCCTGTTGTATATCTAGATATTCTTGATAAAATCCAAAGAAGAATCAGCAATATTATTGGTCCTGACCTGGCATTTCTCATCAATTTACGGTTGAATTGGTGAAATGTAACCGTGGGTTCTATGCTTATGTCTCTTTTCTTTCATTTCTCGCTTGTGGAAATCTCTTCCGTTTTCTTGATTTCAAGTCAACTTTGATCTTCAAAAATTTAAATGCACTGTAAATCGTTATCTACAGTCTTACAGATCACTCTTATTTTTTTCGTTCTTTGACAATGTTTTTCTTTTTCTTATTCTTTTACACTCAGTGGCTTTACTGCCTTGCAAGGGGTGAAAATGATTAAAAAAAATAGCAGAATATATTAGGCTATCGAGCCCAAGTTGGTAGCTAGTCTACAAAAAAAGAAAGAAAGAAGACTGAATGAAATATGTCAAAAGAAAGAAAGAAAAAATATTTAGAGAAATAAGGAAGGATTTTGAGAAAATGTCAAACATGAAAAAAGAAAAATCCAAAGAAGGAAATAAAGAAAGAAAAAAAATCAAACAAAATTGAGAAAGAAGGAAATGTAAAAAAAGATTAAAATATCAAAAGAAAGAAAAAAGTCATAAAAGAAATAAGAAAGAAAAAGAAAGAAAACAAAAAGAAAATAGAAAAATGTCAAAAAAAGAAAAAAAAAAAAAAAAAAAAAAAAAAAAAGAATGAAAGAAAAGAAAGAAAATTTCAAAAAAAATGTCAAAAAAGAAAAAAGAAATAAAAAAAAAAAAAACAAAAAAAGAAAATCTCAAAAAGAAAAAGTTTAATGAAATTAGAAAGAAGAAAATTTCAAAGAAAGAAAAAAAGAGAGACTCTCAATGAAAGAAAGAAAATTTGAAAATATCAAAAGAATTGGAAAAGAAGAAAATGTTAAAGAAAGAAAAAAATTTAAAAAAAATCAGAAAATGAAAAAAAGGAAATTTAAAAGAAAAAAGAATGAAAGTAAGAAAAAAATTACAAAGAAATAAACAAGGAAGATAAATGTTGAAAGAAATAAAATCTAATATGTCATTCAGGCCAAATCCTCTTAATTATTAGCCTTGTGCCATGATCAATTCAACAGGTTAATTAATGGTTATCCTGCGTCCGCTTCAGAGATTTTAACTCTTCGATCTCTTTATTTTTTGAAGGCGAGGCTAATTGGCAAGTGCTGAAAATATTCCATCGAAGGAAGTCACCCAGAAATTCTTGCAGAAATATTTAATGTAAAAAATGCTTGGCTAAATGTCTAAATTCTTCAATTTCAAGATTTGATTGCTTATATTGAAATTCAGTAATTGGGATCAATCATTGCATTCGTTTTCCAACAAACACCAGGCAATTCTAAGGAAATATGTAATGTTATATGAAGAATTTATTTCAAATTTCCTCTTCTGTGACTTTTCAACAACCATTATTTATCTAAGAGGACGCTGCTAGTATAACAGATATCGAATTGACGAGACGAGTTCAAATTCTGGATTAGTTACGCTTACTTTCACACAAAACCCTCCAGCTATGTGTTAAACAGAAACGTAAACCGCCTTCTATAGCCTTGATAGGCACCGAGTCTAATAGAGATAAAATTCTGAATTACAAACCATGTAGCCGACAACGGATAATCTCTCCACTATATTTCCTAAGAATGAATGGTAATTCATAGATAATAAGGAAAAGGAACGTATGGAGAGTCATGATCGGCTATATCCTGAAGCGACTTGGCATTAAGAAATATACATTTATCTTTTCTTATGTCTAATACCGAAATCGAAAAATCAATGCCAAATTTAATTATGTTTAATTTTTTATACTAATGTTTACTCTCAAATAAGCCTAAGAGCCTATCAAGCTAGAGGCTTACTGAATAAAGTGTGTGATATGAACATAAGAGGAAGAAGTGTGAATTTAGAAGATATGGTGGATAGATAACGATTGACTCTAGACTTGTAGCGTTCGGGAAAACATACACGGGTGACTCTTTCAAAAAGCAGCCGAACGCCGTTCTTACTAAAGGAATACGGACAGAATGAGGCCGATTCAGTCCTGGGGACGTACCAAGGCGTCTCTGAAAAATAGGCTGCAAGAAGGAAAATATCATCCCCCTTCCTCACAGGACCGCATAGACTCTTTTTGAACTCTATCAAGACTGCATATTGAGGATTTGGCAGCTACAATCTACTTACAGATTTATCCTCCTTCCTTGAATTAATTTCTTTGATCACCGCAACAGTATCCCGATGAGAGAAATTCGGAAAGACATTATTATTATTATTATTATTATTATTATTCAATTAAAAAAAATAGGGTCGTGAGAAAAATGTTAAAAATCGGAATTTTCGGAGAAGCCTCTGTCCTTTCTCTGAGAAAAATAAAATTAATTTTGCTCTACACTAAGATTCTGTCTAGACATTGAAATACAAACGTTACCCTAGTAATAGTTGTAGATGGTGTCTTTACACAGATTCTTGTTTGTTGCCATAATAACAGCTCTTTCTTGGTTCATTTCAGCTTCTTTATACTAAAGACAAGTGTTTCTAAACCATTTTTTACTTCATATCACTATTTTTTACTTTATTTTTTACTTGTATTTTTTACTTTTTTATTTTTAATTATTTTTATTTTTATTACTATATATATTATTATGTATATATTATATTATGCATTATATATTATAATATGTATATATTATTACTATATATATTACTATGTATATATTATTTTTATTTTTATATATTTTTTTTTTTACTTTTATTTTTTACTACATTTATTTTTACTTCATATTTCCTTCATAATTATTTTTAGACTAATTAAAACACTTAGGTGCACTTTAAATTTTAACAAAGAAAAATTAATCATGAAATTTGAAAAACGAAAAATAATAAGTCTCCTGAAATGAACATTTATTTTTAAATCATTAAATTTTATATTTAAATATGCTTGTGTGGAACGTGTACTTGATGTCCTTTGGCAATTTTTTGAATGTTAGGTCCTTTATATAATAAACATATTCTCAGTTCCCCTTCAATGAATTTAGTATTTGATCTGGTTTGGAATTTAATGTTGGTAAGTGCAGAAAATCCTAATTCACAGAGAAATGATGTGGAAAATTGCAATCAAATATTCAATGCTTTACTCACGACTGAAGGATATTCTTCTTAAATGGAAATCCAAAATTGATCAATGGACACCTCTTTATATATGATTTGCAAACAACAAACCGATAACGGTAACCACCTTTTTCTTCTTCTGTTAATGATAAGTCAAGGTCACCAGTTAAAAA